CCTCTTCCTCTCCACTACAGAGGTAACTACTCATCCAGAACCCAGGCAGGACCCAGAACAGGCCTGTAGTGTAGAGCAGTGTCTAGGACAGAGGGTGGAAAGCTCCGTCAGGCCTGAGCAGCTCCTTCCCTTCTTGGGTCCCTGGGGGTCACTGTAATGCTCTCCAGATGCCTACTTGCCTCCAAGAACAGAAAGGGTCAACCAGACCCAGGACACCAGGGGCTTAGATTGCTTTAAAGTGCAGTCACAAGGAAGACAGATCTTCTGTCCACTGGTTCACTCCCCAAATGACTGCAATAACTGGAACTGGGCCAGGAGCTTCTTTCAGGTCTCCCACATGGGTGCAGGAGCCCAAGGATCTGAGCCATCCTCTGCTGTTTTCCCAGGCCATTATCAGGAGGCTGATCCAGAGGTAGAATATCCAGGACCCAAATGGCTCCCATATGGGATGCTGGCACCATAGGTGGATAATTAATGTGCCACACCATGTGCTGGCAGGTGTCTTGCCTGTGTGACTTGTAGGCTCTGGGTCCAGAGGCCTAGGTTTGAAGCATGTCAGTCTCTGAAGGCACTCCCCCTACAGCTCCCATACTCCCATACTCAGCTAGTCCCTGGAGCAGGTCTTGCCTCTGGCAACAAGTGACCCAGTCCTTGCTGGGAGAGCCATCCTCCTGCTTTCTGGCTACATCCCCTGGCATCCAGAGATGTTTCAGACCTCACTGTCCCCCTTCTTCCTCCTGGCCTTTGCTAGGCTGCTCCCTCTGCCAAGAATCCCTCCTGTCTCCCACATTGCTGGCTTCCATCTCCCCCAGCTCTGGCTCTAGGTGTCCGCTCTCCAGGTCACTACACTTAGGGAGTACTGAGAAACACTCCCTGCTTCTGGCCAGCTCAGCCTGCCCTCCCTCTGCCTCATCACCCACAAGAAACAGCAGCAACACAACATCCGGTGGATGCCCAGTGAAAGGCAAGATGGCCAGATTCCAATCAAGGGACAGTCTACAGAAATGCCTGCTCAGTCACCCGCAAAGCTGTCAAGGTCATCAGGAGAAGAATATACACCAAAGGGAAAAAGAAACAAGAGAGAAAACCAAACAAACAAAAAAAATTGAGCAGAGGTTGAGAGCTCAGGTATAGTGGCCCAGGCCATGTAGTGTATGACCCCTTGATATGAGATATCCAGAACAAGCCTAATACCTTGGGGAGAGGTATTGGCTGCTGTGGGCTGGGGAAGGGCAGAGGGTGGGAGTGCCCCAGTGTAGGGACTCTGCTGGGACGTAATAGAAATCCTTGCAAATTAGATAGTGACGATGGCGGCACAACATCAGAAATACAGAGCCCTCTCTGTGACATAGTGAGTTAAGCTGCCGACCATGACGCCAGCATCTCAAGTCCCTGCTGCTTCACTTCTGATCCAGCTTCCCGCTAAAGCACTTGGGAAAGCAGTGAAGGATGGCCCTGCACCCACTGTGGGATACCTGAAAGAAACTTCTGGCTCCTGGCTTCAGACTGGCTCAGCTGAGGCTGCTGTGGTCATGTGAGGAGTGGGCAGAAAACATTCCCAACCCACACCCATCCCCATGTAACTCTGCCTTTCAAATAATAATTTTTAAAAGACTACAAATACATACATGAAAAAAAAACACTGGATCACACACTTCAAAGTAGTTAAAAGGATCCGTTTTATGGTATGGAGATTTTTGTCTTGAGTTATTTGATACAGTGCAGGCATCTAGAACTTACCAGCTCCAGCGCCATCCCCAAGCCTTCTCATTCAGAATCCGTAAAGGGAGTCGTTTGAATGTCGCGCCCCGCTCACAACCCCGGGCGGAGATCCCCGCTTGCCTTTCCCGACTGGCGGGCACATGGCCCTTGGGACCCGGGACCTGTCCCCTTAGCCAGGTCACCGCCTGCGCCAGCACGGACACGGCAGCTGCAGCGTGCCGCCTAGTGGCCACTGCGAGCGGGAGGCGCGAAGGCAGCCGCAGCCACTCGTGCAGGGAACCCCTGCAGCTGCTTTTAAATCATAATTGTTATCAAATAGGTGGTTTTTAGGCAACCAGATTAGAGACTTGCTGCATATCCTTTTCAATCCTATGAGGTTGATATTGTTTCCAATTTACAGTTGAGGAGACCTACGCTGAGATAGCCTCAGCAGCCAGCCCACCATACCTGTCCTGCCTGCAGGTGAGGGAGGGTAGCCCCAGGTCTACAGCCACACCTATCAGCGTGACTCCTTGAGAAGTGGCTTCCCTCTGCTTCAGGAGGCAGCCACAGGCCCCCAGCAAACAGAGGGAAGATAAAGGAAGGTGGGAGTTCTTCCTTTCAGGGCTGGCTTGGAAAAGCTGTACCCAGCAACCACTTCCCTCAGTTTCCACATCCAGCCACTCAACCAGTAGGGGTATTTGAAGGCTGGCTTGGGTACCAGGGACACCATGGTGACCAGGAAACAGGGCCAGCTCACCACCTTGCCAACCTCACAGCAGCTCCTTTGCCGTGAGGCCAGCGGTCCTGGGTTTACCCAGCTCCTTCAGCATGTCCTGCCCTTCTTACCCATCCCAGGAAAAGATGTGGCTCAGGGGTCTGGACTCTGGAGAGGAACCGTGCATGCGGGGGGTGGGAGGCAGGCAGTGGTGTGTGTGTCTGTGTGTGAAGTAGTACGAGATGGGGCATCTTTTGGACACAGGAGGGGTGCATGGGAGTAATGGAGAGTGTGCCAAGTACTCCATGCAGGTGCTGGAGCTCTTGGAGGGAGTGCAGGACCAAGACCTTCCATGGGCACAGGTCAAGAGGGACAGGTGGGCAAGGACTGGCAGGAGAGGGGCAAACGACCACCCCTTTGGCTCTCCCCTGATCTCTGAACCCAGGAATTAGACAAAGCTGTGAAACCCAATACTTTGAGCTTAATGGACTGGGCCAGGTACAAAACTAACTGCCTAAATAGGAAAGTTCCAAGGACTAGGGTTTTGTGGAAAGACCTTGAATATCCCCACTGGCTTTATGAGGAGGAGGGAGAGGTGGGGAGAGTGAAAGTACGAGTTGAGCTGTCTGGCACAGTGTCCTCAGCCCCCGAGCCATATCTTGGGGATGACAGTCCCTTGGAGGTCTTGGTACTGAGTGCCTGTGTAGGTCTGTCAGTGGTACTTTAGTACCAAGTACCTGTTTGTCTTCTGAGTCACCTGCCTGTCCTGCTTCCAGGTGTGTGTGGCTGGGTTTGTGTTTGCTTTGAGTCATGTGTTTCTGATCTGTGGGTGCCTCAGGAGCTGGATGTCTACGTGTGTGTGTGTGTGTGTGTGTGTGACGTCTCTGGGAGGGTCCCTTTGCACCTGTGTATCTGTTGCATGTCCCTCTGCAGGTGTGTATTGGGGTAAATGCCCATGACTGCGTCTTGGGCTGGGCGGACGCCTGGTGTGCCTGCAGTCCGTGGGTGGGTGGGGCTCGTTGAGTGGGTGTGAACAGCTAGTGCTACCCTCCCATCTACTGCCCTAGGCTGGGCTGTCCTGGGCTGAGCTAAAAATAACACACTTACCTTTGCCCACAAGGGCCTTTATCAATTGACCAAAGTCCTTCCTGGGGTGCCCACTTCACCCAGAGCCTCCCTCTTGATCCTTGGTGCCCTTGCAGAGAGGGTTGTGGGGGTCTGGCTGTAGGCACTATCTTTGCCAGATTGCCACAGACTCAGAGGGGGTCTTGGACATTCTGGGTTTGTTCCTGCCCAATCAGCCTCCGCAGTTCTTTGGGGCTTTTGTACCAACCAGGTCCCCAACCAGCCAGCAGGTCTGGTCCTGCAGTCCAGGAAGCATGTCTTGGGGCCCTCTTCCAGCTCACCCACACTGCTTCAGGGCCTGGCTGCACCTGTGTGTCCAGACCCCCTTGTAGGGAGCAGACTTTGGGCTCCTGGACACAGATGGGGCTTTGGGGCCTGAGTCAGACTGGCAGGGAGGGTAGATGAGGGAAGAGACTGCACCTGGTTTTTTTCCACCTTCAGTTCTTTGTGGCATAGTTGTCACCTGCCCACTGTTTTACTGCTGAGGACACAGAGGGCATCCCCAGGCAGGAAAGGGTTGGAGCCCACATTCACGCTTCAGGTGACTGGCCTAGCCCAGGGGCTGCTTCACATCATGCCAGGGGTCCAGGTGCTGCCTGGACTTTGGCCCAGTGCAGAGAGGCAGGTCCAGACAGCCGGACAGCCAGGTGGTCCTAAGCTACACCAGCCCCTGTCTTAGGCTCTCGCTGGGACAGCTGCTTCATGTTGTACTGCAGAGCTTATTCAGGTGGAAGGGCTAGGGCATCATGGAATCCAGCCTTCTGAAGGTTGTCCAAGAAAAGTGCAGAGGTCGATTTTGCTTAGTGTTCGGAAGTGAAAATTGGGCAGACTCCGCTTCCAGCCGTCCTCCCACAGTGGCCGGATATTCTCAGGAGGACCCCCCCCCCTTTGAGCAGCCCCGCCAGCTCCAGCGAGGCCGCGCCCGTCGGGTTCCCCCTTCTCCACCGGCCCCGGCCGGCCCCGCCCCCCGCCTCCAGGCCCCGCCCCGGCCGCGCGGCCACGCCCCCGGCTCGCGGACTCCGGGCTGAAGAAGCGAGCGGGCGAGCGGCGGCGCTGGGCAGTGTGGCGGGCGGCGCGGGCCGGCGAGGGCGCCGGGGCCGCGGGGAGGCGCCGGGGCCGAGAGAAGCACTCGCGGAGGAGGTGCGGACGGCGCGCTCGCCTGCCGGCCGTGCAACTTCGGGACCCCTGTGCGGGAGCCCGCGGGGGAGCGCTGCGAGGAAGCCCCGCCGGAGCCTGGCTGCGGAGAGGGCGCCGGGCACCCACCGCGCGCCCCGCGCCAAGCAGCCCTCGGCGCGGCGTGGCTGCCGCTGCAGCCCCCACGGAGGGCACGGGCTGGCGCGGCCGGGCGCCGGGGAGGACGGCGAGGAAGAGGCGGCGGCGGCGGAGACGGCGGCGGCGAGGCTGGGGCCAGGGAGAGCGCCCCGCTGGAGAGGAGCCCGAGCCGGCCGGTGGGAACATGTGGGCCCGGAGCGGGGCGCGGGGCGCGCTGCTGCTGGCGCTGCTGCTGTGCTGGGACCCGCGGCTGAGCCGAGCAGGTACGGAGCGACTGGAGTTGGGGGGCGGCGGCGAGGGGACCCGTGCACCCGGTTCTGCGCTCAGCCTGAAGTTGGGGTGGTTACGAGCCGAGTCAGTGCGCGCAGGGAGAGTGATGAGGGCTCTGCCCCACCAAAGTGGGGGAATGCCTGAGGGTGCCGGACAGCGTTTGTGGGGGTGGACATAGAGGAAGACAGAACCTTCCAGCATCTGCCTAGAAGTGTTAGCTTTTTTTTTTTTTCCACCCCCAAAGGAGTGTCCGAGCCGGGGGTCCTCCAGAGAATCCGCCTCCAGGGGATTCCTGGCTCTCGGTGCTGCGGGAGTGGGCGCCCGACTGTGTGCTCGCTGGCAACTTCCTAGTCCCAATCCCGACTCGTCTGGACTGCTCCATCTGAGCCACTCGGACCGGGATCCACAGATCGGAGGGAGGGAATGAGAGAGCATGGAGCAGGAAGCGGCGCGGATTCTCGGTCTGCCCGCAGGGTTGATGGATTTTGGGTAACGAAAGGGGCAGGCAGGACTGCTGAGTCCTTCACCCACAGCGGACAGGACCCACCCGCGCATCCGGAAGGAATTTTTTTTCCTGTGAATACTTGGGGCAGTTTCTGGTTTGGACTCAGCAGGATGCCTTTGGGGTGCTGCGAATCCTAAAATACAGCGCCCGCCCCGCCCCTCCCGCCTTGGAGTGTGCATGTGTGTCGGTCTCGCTGGAGCTGGTGGTGCTGACTGAGCCACACCTTCTCGGGTAGCCTGCCGGCGCCCACCACCTCACCTAACCAAGCAGGTGGGCTGGTCAGGTCCACCTGGTGCCTGGGCTGTTGGAGCCGGTCGCGATGGCATCCTCTGGGGTGCGGCTGAGGAGAATGGGGCTGGGACAATTGGAGCCGAAAGTGGCAGAGGTGACGCAGCCCCCTCCCCTCCCCGCTGTGCTGTTGACACTCGCCTGTGCACCTCCTCATAACCGGAGCTGGCTTCCTGAGGAGCGGGTGGCGCGGATCGGTGATTCCCACAGTCCAGAATATTGGCTTGGCTGTAGCACCCCCTCCCAGCTTCTTTTTCCTTCCAAGCCCTGTGCTGTAAAGTTACAACACTCAATCATTTGATCCAAGTTAATTATGATCTGGTCAGACTCTGGTATTTCAAGCCTTGTTTTGAAGTTGCAAGGTAATGACGGGGAGAGGAAGGCTCGCTGCTGAATGGGCAAGGCTGTTTGCGAGGGTGCAGTTAGAGGTGGGAGGTGCCGGGCTGGGGCGGTGGCGGTTTCTGGGTCGAGGGTGTTGGGGGAAGGTGATTGGCATCTGGAAATGGCACAGGGATAGGCATGTGGCCTGGGGATCTTTGTACGAGTGTGGATCAGGAACAAATACTGAGGTTGCTGGGTGTGGGGGCCACCCCGGGAAGAGAAAGACAAGGCTGGCTGGCCCAGAGCTTTCTGGGTGGGTGGGCTCTGCCAGCAAGGCGAGGCTGGTGGAGCTGAAGGGGGAGCTGCTTTGCCTGTTTCACAGAGCTTTTCAGCTCCGTCCTTCCCCGTAAGAAACCCCAGGCCCACGGGGCTTTGATGGATTTGGGCACGAATGGTGCCCAGCCAGAAATGGCCTCTAATACCGGGCTTTGGTTTCTCAGCAGAGAGCAGAAGCGGTGCTGGGAACCATGCTCATTACTTAGCACAGTGGGAACTGCCTGCCCACCAGCCTGGCCGGGGCCAACTGGTGGGCTCGCCCTGCAACTTCCCCTTAGCCCGGGCTCCGTTAGAAACCTGCTTTCCCTCCCACACGGCCAGACCTCTAATGCCACAGGCACAGGGCTTTTTTTTTTTTGCAAAAGTCTTTGGATTTTTTTTTTACAGTGACTGCCTTGTAAGTCCCATTTCACTGATGAGGAAAACCAAGGCCAGTGTGTTGACTTTCCCCAAGTCTTACCTTAACTTGATCCTAGACTTGTGTGTGGGGCTCCTGTCCAATAGTTGGACTGATTCAAGCTCAGCATAGGAATTAGAAAGGCCCGGCCCCTAAGGACATATCCGCAAGTAACTGGCGGAGTGGCCAGAGAGGCCCCAGCTTCCCAGCCTGTTCCTGCCTGTCCTGGCCTCTGGCTGAGATGGCTGGAGAGGAGCTGAGGTGTCAGGAGTGGTGCTCCGGACATCTGGGCGTAGGGTGCCTGTGTGGGGACAGGATGCTGGCCGTCCTTGCCAGCTCCCACACTACTGTAAGCACACTTCTTAGACAAAAGGAAAATCAAGTGTTTCAATGGGTTTTCTCATTAAAGTGAAAATGCCACTGCTGGGGCCCCAAATTCTCCAATAATCTCCCTTCCCAATCTTCCCCTCCCCCACCTGGGAATCCTGGAAGACAAAGGAGTCCCCCTTTCCTATCCATTCATTGAACTGTTGGTGCTTTTGAATCTGGACCCAGCTTGCCCTGCCCTGGCTCACCTGGGGACACACAGGTAGAGTCAAAATGTGAATTCTGGCCTCATATTCAGTGCTCCTGGATCTTTTTTTTTTTTTTAATTGCAAAGTCAGATATACAGTGAAGAGGAGAGACAGAGAGGAAGATCTTCCATCTGATGATTCATTCCCCAAGTGGCCGCAATGGCCGGTATTACGCCAATCCGAAGCCAGGATCCAGGAATTTCCTCTAGGTCTCCCACAGGAGTGCAGGATGCTAAGCTTTTGGACCGTCCTTAACTGCTTTCCCAGGCCGCAAGCAGGGAGCTGGATGGGAAGCAGGGCTGTGGGGATTAGAATCAGAGCCTTTATGGGATCCAGGCACATGCAACGTGAAGACTAGCTGCTAGGCCACCATGCCGGACCCATTTCTGGCTCTTTTAATTAGTTATATATTGGGAACTGAGAGTGACAGGTGGGAAAGCGGGACAGACAGAAACATCCTCTATCTGCTGGTTTACTCCCCAAATGACTATGTGGCCAGGACTGGTCCTTGCTGAAGCCAAGATCCCAGAACTCCATCCTCTTTCTCATGTGAGTAGCAGGGCTTCGGGCACTTGGGCCATCACCTGCTGCCTTCCCAGGCCACATTAGCAGGAAATTGGATTGGAAGCGGAGGAGCCAGGACTCCTACCGGCTCTCCCACCTGGGATAGCTGTGTCGCAGGTAGAGGCCTGGTTTCTGTCTACCTGAACTGGAGACCAGTATGAATTTCGAGCACCACCTGTGCAGGTTCCCAAAGCTAGGATGAGTCTACTTAGACTAGGGCCTGGAGCAAGACAGGGGCGTGAATTGGGAGCTTGGATGGCCGGAGAGCTGGAACTGGGCATGACCAAAGGCCAGGAGAGAGACAGACAGCCAGGCCAGTGTTGGACGGTAACTGTGTCTCTGAACCTGCAGCCTTGCTCTTCTTGCTAACAGTGCTGAGCTGGGGAAGGTAAACTCCCTGGGCTCATGGGGCTAAATGCTAGCTTTGTAGAGCTCCGCACCCATTTGAATAACTGGGAGCCAAATTTACTTTTTTTGTTTTCTTTTGATGCTTTGAGAGCCCATGACTTCCCTTTGTGGATGAATTACTGCTGGACCCAGAGTACTGTGAATCTGCTCCTAGCCAACAGGCCTGGTGTAAGGGCTCCCTCCCACCACCTCTGTTGCCAGAGCCCTGGAGTTTTTCTGAGGGTTGTGGACTGCCCTTGACCCTGAATGTGGCTGAAGGACCAGGCCTGGAAGCATCTCCATGGCTGCTGGCTATGCAACTGGTCCTTTGCAAATCAGAGCTGATTAGGGGCACAGAAGGGTTGCAGCTTGGAACTGGGGGAGGCCTGTGGGAAAGGGCATAGGGGCTGGGTCAGAGGCTGGGCCTGGTGTCTCTGCAGGTAGTCCCAGAGGTAAACTGGAGAAAGCCAAGCCAGGCCAGAGCTGGTTTTCTTCTATCCTCCTCTTCCTCCTCTCAGTTTCCTAAACAGCTTCCACAATTGGAGTCATTAAAACTGTGAAGACAAAATGAAACCAAACAAGTGCGCTCTGTGCTTTCTCAAAAAAGAAATGTAAGATACCAGGACTAGAATAAGATGAGGAGAGGGCAGTTTCCAGGGGAGCAGGCAGTGGTGCTCCCCACTCATTTGTTGGCTCTTGAAGTTGGGACACTACCTTCTGTCCCCCAACATGGGAATATATCTCCCTACCCAGTGCTTATGGGTGAGCCTGAGCCAGGTTGAGTTCCAACCCAGGGCTTTGCGGGGGAAAAGTCTGGCATCCCAGAGCTGGCCATGGGAGTTGACTGCACTGGGTTGGGACCCAGGGTGCACTTTTTGGGGGGAGGGGAAGGAAAAGCAGCCAGTACACCCCTGCCAGACTAGACTAATGCACAGGTCTACATGCCACCGTCTCTGCTTTGAGTCTCCAGCAATGCTAATGTCAACGCAGACAGGCGTGGAAGTACAGGATAAATCAACCCCACCCCTTCAGTTTCCTATTCCTTCTTTCCCTAGGCCCTGGGCTGCTTTCCCTTCCCACAAAGTGGCTTGATTAGCACCTCCAGTGCACTTTGTGGGGCACCTGCACCTGGCGTCAGCGTGTACTGCTCACCCTGCTGCCCCCACTGTCCTGGGCTCCCCTGTTCCCCTGCCACCTCTTTCCCCAGTCGAGCTAAATCTGTCTGCCTGCCAGTCCCCAGGAGCCCTCACACTACCAACTAGTGAGAGAGAGAGAGCACAGCTCTTTCCTCCTCACTTCTCAGAACTGGCTTCCCCCCAGCGCCCAGCGCTCGTGTCTGGGAGAAGGCAGACTTGTGGGTGAGAGAGTATGTATGGGAGGTGAGAGTGTGTGTTAAGAGCCAGGCAGAGGAGGGAGGGAGGGCAGGTGGGTGCAGAGCTGATGGGTGTGCACATTGTATAGGGCTGGGCCTTTTCTATAGGCCTGTGAACTGTGTACAGCTATGTGTGTGTGTGGGGGGGGTGCGTGTAGAGTCAGGGTGTGGTTATGGTGTGTGTGTGTGTGTGTAGAACTAGGTGTGTGTGGTGTGGGGAGTGAGTCACTGCCAGGCACAGGAACCTC